TTGGATCCTCCTGCTTCCACTTCCCCCAGCACTGAGGAAGGCCCTGCCAGGTACAGGATATGCCTTTTCCCAGTGTAACAGACTTTGTACAGGAATTACACATGCAGATCTCCATGGTGGAAAAGGAGAAGCAAGATCTCTCTCCGTCAGTGCTCTGAGGGCAGTGATTCACCTTAATGATCCTGGCTTGCCTCACCTGGGAATTAAAATTTTGTAACTTAAAAGTTGTCTTGCAAAGTGTATATTTTATACTTAATTTACATGTTGAAATAAAAAATGTCACTTGGATTTTGTTAGGAGTTCTTGTGAATCTAATGTCTCCCAGCTCTCCCTTGGCTTGCCTATCTTAATTTCTTATGTTTTTCTTTAGCTCTATTTTCCAGCAAGTCAGTTTCCAGAAAAACATGTTATTGCAAGTCTTCCCTGGTACATAAACTGAATAAATGCCATTATATTCAAAAGTTTGATATAGAGATGATGTAACAAAAGTTATGTCATATGCCAACTCCTTATCTCACACTGAGCTAGTTCCTTAGTACTCGACCTTTTCGTAACTGTTTAGACTATAAACGTTCCTGACGACACATTTGTTAGCCTTTATCCATAAAAAAGCCACTATTGCAATATAAGCACTAATAATTATATCAAACTGAAGCCAGCAGTGCTGTGATAGAGGCCAAGACTGTTGGGTCTAATTAGGTTGCAGTGCCGCAAAAGCACCACAAGACGGCGCCATCCCAAGCCCGCAGCGCTTCCATGGAACCATAGACTGGTTTGCATTGGACTCACTCCAGCGGGTCCATATCCTTCTTATGTTGGCTGAAGAATTAATTTTGACAAAAGTCTGTATTTAACGTGGTGAAGTTGAAATAAAGGTACTCTCCCACTGGTGACACGACTGTCAGAGCTGTCAGCATTTGTGTATCAGTCACCCCCTTGTGAGATGCTCTGTTGAGTGCAGAAAAAACAACTGTTATATTTATGTTGGAAAGATGTTTTAAGGGCCCACGTAATTAAAGTGTTAAGGAGGCTATTAGAACTTCCAAGGCTTAAGGAATGTCCAAAGGAAAACATGAAATATACACTGACTCCAGCATGCTACATGTAGAAATAAAACATAGCTGATGCCAAACCTCTCATTTACACCTGCCTTGGGACCGGGCTTGAAAAGTACTCAGTTTTAAAGTCTTCTGAAACTCTGGAAAACTACAGGCCAGTAAGTGGTTGCCTTTACCAGGAAAATAAGCAGAAATCAGAACAAAGGATGAAGACACTGAACACAGGACTACACCTAAAAGCATGGGGAAGGGTTTACTCAGCTTTTGATGGCAAAAACTGTGGCTCAGGATCTCTCAGGATCCTGCTGAAAGGGGACCCAGGTGGCAAGGATACCCTGGCCCCAATGTCCATCACTAAAGATCCCTTGAGAAAGGAGAGGAGAAATGACTCATAGAAGAATAAAAGGTTAGAAACAGAAGGCAGGACTAAATAATGGTCAGATTTGTTACTGGAGAGAGGTGGTGGAAGTCCCACAGAGCTGTGGGACCTGTGCTGTCCAACATGAAATTAATAAGGAAGGTGAAAACTTATATCTCTGAGAGCTGAGTTATGTACGAAGAGGAAACAGTTCTCCTTGCCCTCTAAAACTCTTCACATACAATACGAGTACAGTTCAGCATGTATCAATCGTCCCATCAGTGACCTTTTGATCTTATCTAATAATGTTAATGTGATCACAGTTAGGGATAACTGTGCGGAGCAACTTCAGTCACTACTCAGAGCAGCAAAACCTTCTCGTGCCTAAGTCTGTACATAACTCGGGTGGAATGAACTTGATATACGCGGCCAGCGCAGGGTCAGACAGGCAGGTTTTGGGTTTGGTGTTGAACCGTCTCCCCGAGCGCAGCGCCGAGGCTGCTGTACCACATTCGGACACCAGATGCTGCTGCTCGCCCGCGTAACGCCCCGGAGCGCTCCGGCGGTACCCGCGCAGGAACCTCGGAGCGTGTTCCCGGGAGAAGGGCTTTCCGCGCGTAGCTACTGCTGCCTTACACTCCTGGCTGAAAGACACGCGGGAAGACCTTGACTTCCCGATCAGCTCGCCTAAAGCAGCGCTGTAGTTACATGCTACTGTGCTGCGATTTACGGGGGTGACCTGGGGCAGAACAGAGAAGGATGGACTGAGGTACAGCTGCCTCTCACACGCTGCACAGCACATGCAGAACAACCGCACCAGCGTTTCCCTGCCAAAGGCGTGCCCGTGCTGGATCTGAGAACGCAGGAGCTGATGTGAAACGGAAAATGAGTCCAGAGTCAGGGATATTTTTAGATCTTCCTGCACAAGAAATAAGAGCAGAAAAGGGGCACGAGAGATTCAGTTTAAGTCATAAATGCTACAGTGGTTCAAGGGCAGGAAAGAAAACTGGTCCTGGACAAAGAAACTGAAGTGATACTCAGGCTACTGCTTGCTTGAAGTTACTAGTGAAGCACTTGTAAAGAGAAATTGCAATCCTCTCAGGAAAGCCAAATATTAAAGGAAAAAATCTAGAACAAAAATGCCAAGTCCTGGACAAAACAAGAAATGGACATGGCCACTCTGACCTTTTCTGTCTTAAGGGCAAGAGGCTGCTTCTGCCCTTGTTGTGAACAGGAAATAGCCTCTCTTTTACCTTGCAGATTTATGAGTTAACTGCAAGGAAACAGAATGTCCTCTCCCATTAAATATTGTAACCACATAAATAGGGCTGGATCTTATTGACTGCATCTGCGAGCACCTAAAATGATTGAGCTACTGGTATTGGGAGGCATCCCAACACTGGAATACCTGCAGGAAGTGTAGATGTTACCTCTCATCCTGGCTGCTGTACTCCCTGTCTGTTGGACACTGTTGGCACTGGGGCTGCTGAATGGCAGCTTCCGACCGGTTCTGACCCACGGGGATAACCTGACAATTTCCAGGTTCAGGCTGATGTGTCTGACACAGACACAGCAAAATATCTGAAGCACAAACTTCCAGCTAGACTAAGGACACAACACGGCACTTGTGTTCTAGGAAAAGGCCCAGTTAGCCAGTCAACAGCTTGCTATTTCCTGAGTGGTTTGTGCGTGCAGGGACTTGCTCCTGCAGGTTGCTTTCAGTGGTTGTGTTTCCTCTAACAGAAATTAATCTGTTTCTCATAAAATTAAATATGAGTACCTCTTTGTCACCAGTTCTGAAAATCACATGGGCATCAGTTTGTTCTATTCCCGTTCAAAGAAAAGTCCTCAAGAATTCAATTCAAGTCCATGTTTGGACACTGTATCATGGCAGATGCTTACAATACATGGGATAGCCTTTAAACATGCAGTTCAAAGCCTCTCTAGGAGAGACAACCATTATATTTTAGGTTTTATTCTACATTTCTCATGTATTTCACTGACAGTGCTCCTGGTGCTATCAATGTGCCCAAAGAGTGTATTGCATCTTTTTCAAAAATAAATACTAGACCAAAATGTGGGGGGAAAATACTTAATTTCATGGTGCCTGTTTTTGGTGGCATGGGGTAGGGGAAATACTTCCTTCATTCCAATTTCTCTAAAAAAATGTGCACTGGCTGCTAATAGCAAGGAGCTGCCTCTGTGGAACACCTCTGATTTGGGAGTATGAATAAATTTAGTCTAAAATTTCATCATTAGTGACAGAAGTACTAATATTAAAAACCTAAGGAATGGCGAAATCCATGGACAAGGACTTTTATGAATGATGACATGATTTTGAATACCAGAAATTCAAATATACCTGGCTTACAATAACAACAGAAGGTGCATTCTAAAAAAATCAGGCCACTTCCAAGCTTTCAGCAAAACCTAAGGCATTTGTAGCAGATAACTGGACCATGAAGCACACTGGGAAATTTTGCCACCACTGCCAAGGGACAGAAGATCAAGCCCAGAGCAAGTACACGTGATTTAAAATCCTTCAGTGTCTGGTACTGAGCAGGGAACCTCACAGGAGAGTAACAAAGGCCTGTTTACATGGAAACATATGTTGGACACAATTTCAAAAACTCAGGGACATGTCTCTAAAGCTCAGCTGTCATTTAAAGATGAAAGGCCAAGAGATTCAGCCAGGGCTTTACTGCTGTGCCATAACTGGAAGGAAAACCTCTGTCTTTTTCCTTTGCTGTTCAGAAAATATTTACATAGAGATTTTTTCTGTTTGGAAGATGTAGGAAGAAATCAGACAGACATCCAGAAAGGTCACAGAAGGTATTACACACTGATTTCTTAAATGATCTTGTCAAACTCCTCTAGCAATTTGCCTTTCTGAGCTTCACCTGGGACACTCTTAAACACCCCTTCTTGCCCAAGGGCCCAGAAGCCCATTTAAGCTTGGGCTTTGGCATTTTTCCTGGTTTTGAACTCTTTTCCTGTTTTTGAACTGCTTGCAGGGGTTCTGTGGGAAGGAGCCTGGGCAGTGGGGTCCCTGCCCTGCCAGCAGGGTCAGGGTGTTTGGCTCCCAGTCCCTCAGGGCACAGCCGGTCCTTGCTGGGCCCAAATATTCCCCTGCTGTAACTCACCCACTTGCCACAACAGTGAGCACTGATTCCTGATAGTATTTCCTGTGTGCTCTCTCACTGAAGATGTAAAAAATTATGTTGATATTAATTGAAAATAAATGTAAAAATATTTAAACACTTTTAAATTCATGTAATAGCAGGGGAGACGCTTTGCTTCACAATCTGTTTTCATAAAGATGCTTTCAAGTGGATTCTGTGAATCTAGTTCCTATGTAAGTAACAAGATTCTCCTCCTGTAACATCCCCTTTTTACTGGTGTCTACTCATCTAATGCTTCATCTGGCCTTTTGAAGTAAAACATTACCATGGGCTCTGATGGTCATGAAATGATCAGATGCTTATTATGTCCACTTCTTTCACACCTTCTAAAACAGAACCATTCAACCTCTCTAGTCAAAAGACTGGTGCAGGATGCACACACAAAAGGAGCGCAGCACATACCAGCAGGAAGTCTTGGTAGTGTTTTTCAGTTCAGGGATCTTCTTAACACCTGTGAAATGAGGTCAAAAATATCAGATTACACAAGTGGGACAGGGAAATCATGTCAGTGACTTCAGTGGGGTGAATAAGACCCTTGTAATCCCCAATAATGTGTTAGGCCAAATAATGCAGAAGAGAAACAAATCATGCAAATCCTTCATTAGGAGTGCAACCTGCGTCAGCTTGAGGCAGGAAGATCAGCTCCCAGACAGCGTCTGTAAGAGCCACTACAATGAAAACAAAACAGCCCGCACTGGAAACCAGTGTGTCACCTGTGGTTGAATTTCCTGGCTCTAAGGTGTGGAGCAAAACCATAATCCACTTCAAATCCTTTTTTTCTGTGTCAGTTAATTTGTTTATGAAGTGCAATGAGGGTGAAATATTTTGCTTGAATCCTTTCCAAAGGATTATAAGGTAGACTTACTCCAGAAAGGTAGAGAGCAAGACACTATTTTTCTGACTTACAGATTTACAGGATTCCCTTTTAAAGGGTTAAAGTGCCTGAAATGTTAAAGATAAGCTTGTACCCATAATTTGCCTCATTTCTCACAAAACATACAGAATTAAGGTGATGTTTTGTTCAAAGGTCTTCTAAATCCATACTTTCAAGTATACTTGGTACCTCCCAAATCCTACTTTTGGAAAAAGGAACACAGTTTCACTTACATTGTCCAAATTCTGTACCACTTGTATTTGAGAACTGTGCCAATTCTTTATTTAATCACATAACCCATGGCAACCCTCTGCTCCTGTTTTTTTTAAAGTGTATATATTCTTTAATAAAATTAAAATATCAATCATGCTGTTCTCAAGGCCTTAAAACTAACCTTTTTTCCATACTGTATATTTTAATATTTCTTTTTCTGAACCATACAAATGATTCAGGAGGTCTTGGTAGCTCCAACACATCTCCCGGGAGACAAGGAGCTTCAATTTGTGGAACTTTCATATTTAATGTTAACATCACATCCCCTACCAGGTAACACCAACTAGAAAATAGGCACATCACAATGTGATGTCATATCCTTAGACAAAATTTCTGGGTTCAAATATCCACATTATCCACATGGAAATGGAATATTTGGGAATGTGAGCTTCAGATCCACACTGTGATCTCAGCTTTGTGATTCAGGCCTCTTCTTTGCCTCCTGGGACAAAAGCAAGTAGCTGCTGGTTGTGCAAGCTGGAGGGTGTTGAAAGGCTCTGTCCCGTTCTGGAGAGCTGTGGCTCAGCAGCAGGACAGTGTGCAGAGCATCTCAGGGCTCAGTCACCACTACCATTATTCATTTTTACTGGGAGAGTGTGCAAAAGCTTGGCTGCAGATAAGGAGCCCATTATTCCAGATACACTTACAAAATAGGAGCATGGGATGCTTGCTGGTGCTGCAGTCTTACAGCCCATGGCAAGCCCTGTACCAAGGGCTCTAAGGTGCCATCTGGTAAGACTGCATGTGCTGCTGGACACCCTGCAGGTACACTCCTTGCCATTCCTGGCTTTTCTAAGTGTGCTGGCTGCTAGGACTGTGGGGGAAAAGAGGATTTAATGCATCCACTTACTGATCCTCTTACAGACACAGATCATAACTCTCAACCCACTAATAAGCTCCACCAGGAACTCAGGCTGAGCAGCGATGAAATGCCACCTCCTCAGAGCACAGGCACTCTCACTGAGCAGAAACATCAAAGTGCTGATTCCTGCTCCTGGGCAGGATGCTGGCCTGCTGGCCTGAAAGAGGGACCACCACGGCTCTTTCAAAATGACAGCGTCCTTGCTTGTGTGCCATTAGTGCAGAGGAGACTCCGTACACAGGGCTGACACTGTGCAACCCTGGGAGATTGCAACATGGTGCAGGGAGGATTCAATTGTCTTGCTGGACCTCTTTAGCAAGTTCCTGCCTCCAAGTACAAGAATGACGCGAAAATGGCCTTTGGATGTACCCTCAGTGATTCACTTGAAATGAGTGAGGGCTGGTTCATGCGTTTGAGAATGAGGCCCTGAAAACCAGCAAAGCTCCAATGCACCAGCATTGCCTTTTGCAGGCAAACAGTCCAGGGAGACATGGTCACAGTAGGAAAGACAGGAGGCATGTCTGTGAGCCACTCATCCTGGGCCACAGCAGCTCCTGTGCCTCCAGCCTGCCTGTTCTCCCTTTATACCATCACAGTTCCATGCAGCACCACACTCCACCTGCAGTGCTCCAGTTGGGATAGGAGGTGTGCACTGGAGATAGTCCCAGTATGGTCTGACTGCTTCCTAACAGCACTTAGTGCCTGGTCCCCTCCCTGGCTGCTGCTGAGGTTCATGGATTCAACATGTTATCAGAGATATCCAACACTGCCATAACTTACACCCATTGCTGCTAGCAGGAAGAGCCAACGTGACTGAACTTGCCTCAAAATGAAGGCTTTCGTTCCGTGATAAAAATGGCATTATGCCCTGTAGTTCCATTGTGTCGTATAACTGAACTTCACGGTGCCTTAGTTCGTTAAGGCTTTAGAGCAACTGCTGCTAATCCTCCAGAAATTATCTGCCAGCTAATACAGCGTGTCTGGTCCTTCAGACAGTGGATCACCGTAAATCATTTTGTAGACTGTGTTGTTACACTAATTGAGACACACAGTTTTGGGGAAGCCATTAAGATGTTTTTATTCCTTCCTCAGCCCTGGCCTCTCCTTCCCACTTCTGCAGTGCAGCTTTTGCACCATCTCCTCAGTTCTTTCACTACCACTGTCATAGAGTCAGATTACAAAATGGGACCCTCTCAAAAAAAAAAGAATCACCCCAAAAGCAAAATGACGGCACTGCAATGAAAAAAACTGTCTGTAATGATGAGCACCTCAGAAATCTCAGCTCATTCCAATTCCCAAAACCCAAAGTCAGTCCCAAAAGTCCTCCACTGAAACTGTGATTTGACTGCATCTTAATGAGAACCACTAATCCTTTCTGGGTTAATTTGTCCAAGTCATAGAAAAACAGCACAATAGCTGTTGACTGGGAAATATCTTTGATTCTGCAAAGAAATAAAGACAGGCAATCAAGGGGGACTCCGAGGCACTCACCATGGTGCAACACAACTTGCCTTAATGTTCTGCCTACACAGTAAAATGTGATTTTTAGTAATTCCAGAAGAAAAGCAATTCTTTTGTTGTCTGAACTTCTGTCACCTGGTTTCCACTTCTTACTTTCAAAAAATCACATAAGTACTCAAAAAATGTGTTTAAAAACCAAGCTACTTTGCCTTTATGCCTTCTGCTACAGACCCACGCTTTTCATCTGGAATTTCTTTTGGTAAATGATTATTACCATGATGTTTGGCATTTCCTTTCGGACTGGGCTGTGAAAAGGATAGGACATGCACTGGCTTATATGGAATTACAAGCATTCCTTTCACAGTGCACTGGGATGAGTTTAGGACATGACACACGACTTTGTAAACAGGGATCACAAAATGCCAAATCAAGAAAGTACATGATGCAAAGTACTACTTTTTTTGTTTGGACAGGTTTTAGAAATATTTGGACAGGATCTGACTGTCTATCATGGCGGGGTTGTTTATGCCAGGGCAGCAAAGAATATATCAGCTTTTTTATTCTGAACGTATATTGACTTCAACGCTTGATGATAAATGGAGCCCTATCTTGAAACTGGGCATAAAAGACTGAAAACTTCAACAAGGCTGCACAACTTTACTCCAGAACTCATTTCCCCCTTCCTGTCCAATTCTCTCACTGCTCAGTGAGAGTACCTGTGCTCCAAGGAGGTGGCATTTCACCTTAAAATGGAATCCTTATTACCTAAAGTTTATTACAACAAAAGGCTACAAGTTCAGGAGTGACCTGTATCTATTCCTTTTCCCACACCACTATAATGTACTTCAGGAATTTGTGTGAAAGGTGAACAGTGATGCTCAAGTCATCAAGTGCACATCCCGCTCATCTTGCAACATTAAGTGGAAGGAAATTGTTTTCAAACTGTGGTTTAGTAACCATTCCCTGATAAAAAATACTGTCATATGTCCCTCACTAAAGTGCAACCCAAATCCTTATGTACTATTAATTGCACGGTGTTTTACAACTGAGCACCACTGGTACAGACCTTTAAGCCACTACTGCCTGAAAACTGTTGGTGTCCCCACTGAGTTTGCTGGGCCTGCTCTGCTCCTGAAGGCTTTTGTCACTCATCACACTCCACATGCAATGAGCACCAAATGTGCAGTCAACAGGACAGTAACAATAAAGCTGTTTTAGACAGCCTTTTTTTTTAATATTTATTTATATAGGAGCAGCAGTGCTATTTTTTTTTATATTTATTTATATAGGAGCAGCCGTGCTGATGTTCTGTGAGAGTCCTATTGGATTTGGTGGAACTGAACTCGGCCCAATGCCTTAAGTAGAACAGTAAAACTAGAACACATGAGGAAAACCTTTTCAGGAGAGAACTTTTTTAAACCTCATCAAAGCCAAAAAGTAGATGAAACATTAAGTTTATCCAAGATGAAAGGCTCCTAGGTCTCCTGTATTCCACATTTACTCTATGACAGTCTATGAAGAACTCTTCTGGAGGACATCTTTCTACCCAAGGAGGCTTTGTCCTTCAAAACTGCTGAAGTCATGGGGCTTTTGCAGAAGAATTAGTAATGTTTTCTGAGCAATATGTGTGATTGACAGTCAAACATGCCACTTCAGAAATGAAAATGGTAAAATATTGGCTGGAATCAAGGCTCATAGTGACTCTTACCAACTCCTGAGCTCTCCAGAGGTTATTAAGCTTTAGAGGAATGGGGAAGGGATATTGTTTTCTGTGGGTGACTAAACATTCAGCTCTGTGCCCCGTGCTCATAGTGGATGGTTTCCTGATTAACTGTGCTGGGATTGGATACCTCAACTGGTTGGACCCAACAAACAGGTATTGTCAGACCTTCAGGGAAAAGGTGTTGGGGAAAATCAAACTCCTTGGTGCAGATTTGTATCCTTGATCTACTTTAAATATTCATGTGTTTGAGTTTGGTAT